ATTCCCAATGTGCCCCCAACTCTTCATCCTCCTGTCTATGCCACATCCTATTCTAGGCCTCCTATGCTACTTCTATTCACGTAGCACCTTCGTGGGATTCCTGTGTTTGAAATCTTGACTAGCCAGTCTACTTTGTCTTCAGTCTAGGGAATTGCCAAAATCTAGATTTCACATTTGAAATAGCACTCTGGCTTTCATCTGCTCTTTCCTTCTAAATTCCCAAACCACCAGTCTTATTTTGACCCCGTGATCTTTCTCAATACCCACCCAGGAGCTTTTGTCACCCCTTGGTTTGTTTTGTTCTAATCCATTTTGTTTTATCTAACCTAAGCTCCCGTCAGAATAGCATTCCACAAACCCAGAATTGGTTTAGATGTTTTCTCAAAAGTACTCAGTGCTGTTTTTCTACCTATTGAGTTAAGTGCATAATCCCAGGCCTTCATGAACAGCCACAAGCAGGTTCGGTATACCTTTCCTGTCTCATCCATCTCTCCTTCCTTGTGGCTACATGATGTTCTCCCAGCTCTTTAGTTTGGGCCCACACGTTTCCAACTTACAACTTTATCCTTTTGTTACTGTTTTCCTGAGTGCATTCTTACCTTAACTCCTGAAATCCTGTTAATTCTGGAGCTCTGTTTTTCACTAGGGTTGTGTGTTCCCCACTTACCCACTCTGCTATTGCATATCCCTTGAGGACCTTTCAGCACAGTCCTCATCTTTGAGAACCTTGCTGTTCCTTCTGTAGTGCTTATTACCTATTCACACATTAAATGTTTGTTAAATTTAATGGAAAATAACAGTAATGTGTGTTGTGAACTTCTAAGTTTATCTGAAATCCCTGAAAAAAATTCTAAACCTTGTGTGAAATATTTTGCAGTAAAGGAACAAGTTGCTCATTAGAACATTCCTTGCTTTATGACTTAAGTCCATAAGAGGAAAAACACATCCTCTCATATCTCAAATATCTGGAAATTGACCTTTTAATAATAAACCATGGGCTACAGTATATTTTTCAGTGCAAATTTACATTATATTTTCATATTACTTTGCCTAAAATAGTCATAGATTTTTAGCTCTGATTCTCATCACTGCATATTCTTTTCACTAGTTTAAAAATTGGGAACAAATCCTATATTTGAGAGTAGACTAAATACTAGGATATTAATTCCAAAGAGGTAATGCAACAAAAGGTCTTCTCATCTTTACTGAAAGAATTACGTGTTTATAAATGTTGAGTCTTGAAGTCATGTCACTCGTTTATGGGATCAAGGCTATTTCCATTGACAGGAAAACTTAATGCTAAAATCTAGACAGTTTCCATGATATTTCTTAGAACTCATAATTTAGGTATTAAAATTATCTTATCCTCCTCTGTTTTTATCTTATTCTTGACCTAGGTGATTAATCTAACATTAATGTTGGCTCATTATAATGATTTGTAGAGAAGAACTGTTTTGCTAAAAGCAATAATGTGCTTTAAAGTTAGAAAATCAGGACATAAAGATTTAGCAATTCATAGTAAAGTCTTTGAATTCATGAAGCTACAGAAGATTTTCAGTTCTCTGAAATTCATAGTAACCTAGTACATACTGTAGTCAAATGCTGGCTGTCTTACTATGTTTGGGCTGCTATAACAAATGCTTGAGACTGGGTGATTTAGAAACAACAGAAATTTATTGCTCACAGTTCTGGAGGCTGGGAAGTCCAAGATCAAGGTACCAGCAGATCTGGTGTCTTACGAGGGCCCATTTCTCGCAGACAGTGCCTCCGTGTGTCATCACATGGCAAAAGAGGCAAACAGCCTCCTTCAGGCCTCTTTTATAAAGACACTAATCCCATTTACTAGTGCTTAGTCTTCATGGCTTAATCAATTCCCAAAGACTGAACTTCTTAACACTGACACTTTGGGGATTAAATTCCAACATATGAATTTTAGAGGGACACAAACATTCAGATCATAGCTCTGGTGAAACAACTTACAATTTCAGGCAAAGGAATACACTTAAGGAAAGAAGGTCCAAGAACCAGATATCCCTGTCATTTACACCCAAGTGGAGCCAATGTTCTGCGCTAAGATCAAAACCAGTTAGACAACTTGGATGGACCTCAAGGGAATTAAGCTAAGTGAAAAAGGGCAGACTCAAAAGGCTACAAACCATATAATTTCTTTGAAATAAAATCTTTTGAAACAAGAAAATTATAGATATGGAAATTAGTGGTTGCCAGGGATAGGAATCTGGAAGATGGTGTAGGAGGAGGTGGGTGTGGCTCTGAAGGGACAGCAGGGGGAGGTTTTTGGTGGCTGCATGCGGCAGTGTTTACATGAAGCTACAGAGGTGATAAGATTGCATGGAAACACATGAATATCCCCTGGAATCTGAACATGCTCTGTAGGCTGTCAATTTCCAAGCATTGATGGTGTACTATGATGTTTCCACGAGGGGAAAAGCTGGGTGAAAGGGGCACTTGTCTCCCTTGTATATTATTTTGAAACTTCCTGTGAACCCATAATTATTTCAGAACAAACTTTTTAAAAAAAATCAGACATTTCCTTGTCACAGTAGAGAAGGAGTTGAAACAAGTTCACAAGTGAGTGAAGTGGCTGGTGCAAGGTGAGGTATATACCATGGCCAGAGGCATGGAGGCAGGTGCTGGTCAGCTCCTGCCTCTGTGGGACCTGTGCACCTGGAACTGCTGAGTCTGCTGAGTGCTATTGTTTTGTACAATGCCCAAAACCTAAATTTCTAATAAGAATCTGACTTTTAAATACAGATAACTGATTCTAACTTTCTGAACACTATGCAAACTAAACTAATGATCCTGTAAGACTGCATCCAGTCTGATGACCATTCGTGTGCAGACTCAGCTTCTAGACAGACAGAGACTCGGTTGGCTCAATATAAATTCTGCATTTGACAGTCTGGAAATCTCAGCACACGGCTCACACTATTTGTGATTTCTTAGGAAGGTGGATAAATGGTCACTTGTGAGACAGTTGGTGTTCTGATAGGCCACTAGTGAACCAGCAGTCACTGACACCCAGAGATTCTGAAGAATGGTGGCATTCTCTCAATCGCAGCTCAGACCTATGCCACTGCTACCGCAAGCCCCTGCAACCCCTGCACCCCCTCTCTGACCCAGGCCCTCACAGTTACTCCCTCGGCTTGATGTCTGAGGCATAGTAGAAGCTCAACTGTTTTTAGAAGTGTTTGTTGTTCTTTCCCAGTTGTCTTAGTTCTTAAATTTTTTGAAGGCGAAAAGGGATCTTCTACAAATGCTGAGAAAATGAACTACACCTGGTGTCTTATGCTGCAGTCTTCCTGAGCCTGGTCCTGTGGCCTGGTGAATGTCCTGACTACATCGGTATAACCCCTGCATCTCTCTGAAGTTCTGAATACTAGCCTTTTTCTCATCGAGAGTGAGCAGTCTGAGGCGCTGGTGAGGTCCGCATTCTGGTTGTGGTCCTTTACAGATTTTATCATCTGTGCGCTGTTAAGTGCCCAGAGTCTAGACATTTCTTCCTCCGCAACTCCCAACCCGGCCATCTGACTCAACAGAAGTGAAAGGAAGACACAGCTACTGCATATTCTTCACCACAGCTTGCAAATCACTCCAAGTGCACGTCTGTGAATCAGTAACACCCCTGCAATGTCTGAAACAACACCATGTGAACTAACCAGACTTCCTTGTCCACTCCGGTAGCTTGAGCACACCCAGTTCCTCCGTAGAAAGAAGTGAGGAGAAACATTCTGAACTTTCAGCTTCAGCTTCCTTTATGGCCTAATTATGCCTTCTCAGAATCAAATTTAAAATGATTAAAAGATTCATTTGCATTAATTCTGTCCTCTTCTCCCTAAAGTCATCTGCTAACAAGAGTCCAGAGAATGTTTTCTAATCCTCCTTTTAAAAAAGAGTATTTGTAGGCATTATATGATTATATATCAATAAGAGTCTTTTTCTGTTGTCATTTTTCACAAAGCTCTATAACATGCGGGCTTTTAAAGGACTGGTTCTCAGCCTTGGAAATTATACTAATGAGGTAAGAGGAGTAATTCAAGGTGTAGCCACTAATTTCTCTAAGGGGAAATATGCAGAGACCCTGGGCTCTACGTTTGTTTTCAACCAATTATCATGTATTTACTTTTCCATTAGTCCAATAATTTCTCTTTCAATTCAGAATTAAGCAATAAGACACTGAATTATATAAAGGCCTGTTTAGCATAGCAGACACACCCCATCATTTCCTAGTCCCTTGATTTACAGCTCTTAAAATGCACAACCAAGAGGCTGTCTATATGCCCTTTCGTATTTATATTCCATCATGCAGTCACCTCAATAACTTATGCATTCTCAGAAGGTCTACCTAGCAATTAACTCCAGTCTTTTCTAACTCACCATCTCATTATGTAAAGTGGATTTGAACATAAACTTTATTAGCAACTTTCTATTCTAATTTCTTATCTCTCCACCTCTACTCTGCCTAGTAATGTCAGTTTATATGTGGCAAAAATACTCTGGAAAATGGCAGTTTAAAAAATCCACAATGGACTGGCAGCACATTAGTAATTGGCTTTTGCACTAGGATAAATCAAGACCGTCACATTCCAGCTAAAGCATGTGATGCAGTTCTTCACAGAAAGGGAAATGCATTCATCCTGCCTCACAAAACAGTGTTTTACTATGTTTAGGAGGAACAGGCAAGTGAGGACGCTAGCATTTTTATTCAAAAGATCAAAAACCAACTAACCAACTGAAACTCCTTTGCTAAAAGGTAAGGGAATCCATCATATCCCTTCTTCCAACCTGAGAGAGAGGAGGGAGGATCACCTGCAGAGCTTTCTCATGCACAGGAAGTACATCCAATAAAGAACTGGAAAATGTCTTCATGGTAGAAACAAGGGGCCGAGGAAAGTTCTCATGGAACTAAATGAAAGGCAGCACCCGAAGGAGACGGGTCCAACATGTGAGCAGGGAGGGCCCTGTCAGTGCAGCTGACTTACCAGTGTCAGGGTCCACAGCTTGAACTCTGGTCAGCAGAGCCTTGGTGGCCGTGTTCTCATAGACACAGGCATTATAGTGATCAGAGGAAAACACAGGGGGGTTGTCATTCACATCCTCCAGGACCAGGCGGATATCAGACTGGCAGAACCTGCCACCCCCGTCGGTGGCCTTAGCGATCAGGCTGTATATAGGTACTCTCTCCCGGTCTAGCAGGGCCAAGGTTTTTAACTCACCTGTGAAAATAAGTGGCAGCACGATTAATTTGGCTTTTCAGAAACTGTCTCTCTTTGATAAGCAGAGGGTCAAACATATACAGAATTTCTAGTATAGGAAGAACAGTGGTATTTGGCATAAGCGCCCTGTACTTGGAAAAATATAGCAAATTCAAATTTTTTAGGCATTGGGGGAAAAGTTTTGGGATTCAAGATGCAACAACAAACTGGCTTCCTGACCTTCAAATTAGTTAATCCCTCCGCAAAACCTATGATATCAGGGGTTCATCCTTTTGGCTGCATGAAGATGCCCCATATCTCTTTAAATCTCTCAAGATCTGCTCTGGAGATTAGCCTCTGGATTTCTGCTGTGTCTCCAGAAAAAGCATACAGAATAGAACAGTATTTCTATTTCTTTAATGGTCAATATTGTAAACAACCCATAGACCTAGAAGGATGGTCTCTTTGCCTCCAGGTACTCAACTTTTACCCTATTTTTTAGAGGAAAAAGACAATGAAAACAGAAGCTGGCCTTAGCAGAAAGGGGTCTTGAAGGACACCACGGTGGCAGGACTGACCCTTTACTCACTGGATGTGGGAGGACCCGTTGTTGCTAGGGAAGGGATTAGGTGGGAAAAACTGAGGAGCTTGAGAAGTATCTGCTTAACATCCAGCATGGAGGCGTGTTACATCTGGATTTTAACAACTGAAACAGCAGCACTGGTGCTAGACAGCTTCTGTGCAGATATTTTTGTTGAAGTTTCAACAGATAATGACAACAAGCACAGTGACAAACTTGAGTGAATGCTATTTGGTAAAAAGTATGACTCATGGAATATCATAACTCAAATAAAATTTGTAGACATCACTCAGATCAAGTCACTTCTTCCTGTGGTGTTCCTTCTTCAGCCAGCCAGTTCTCAAACACAGATTGGGACATCTCCCTCTGCTCCTCAAAAAGCACCCAGTGATTTTTCAGTGGAACATTCAAGGCCCTCCGCATTCTGGTCTGAAGTTGTTTCTCTGCCACTTCTATACACGACATTCCCAGAATGTGCTGTGCTCTTTCATTTTGAAGTCCCTTCTGAGTCCCTTTGGCACCCCTTATACTTCTCATTGGCGTGCATATTATTCCGCCTTCCATTACTGTTATTACTTGTCTGTCTTCTTACTGAATTGCAACATCCCTTGGGCATAGTTTGTTTTGTTTACCTTGAAGCCTTCTACAAATATCACATAAAGTGCTTTTGTGTCCACCAGCTACTCAATAAATGTTACCTATTGAATAAGTAACTCCAGGCCCATACAGTTGAAAAGTTTTTTCCCATGTTGCTAGGTTGGTACTTTCTCATAGGATGCAGCTGACATGAGAGTGTGGTAGGGGGGGTCACAGCTTTTGGGGATTCAGTAGTTATTGCTTATCATAATCAACACAACTCTGGAAATATGCAAGCTAGGTAATCTTTAAATTCATTTACCAAATGCCATTGGATGGCTCATCCAATTCACAACACTAAAATATTCTGCCTCCCTAGAAAATGGCTCTTCCCTTAGCTCTGACCTTCAGTGCAGGTATCTGCCTTTAGCTTACATAACGTTTCACCCTGTAAATTTTACCTAATATGCAGGTAAATCTGAGGGTTCACAGCTTGGGAGGATCTAGGCAGGAATTTTAAAAACCACACAAATGATGTTAATGAGAATCAGAAAGGGACTAAAAAGGGATTTCAGTATGAAAGAATTCTCCTTCCTATGCACTGCTCTCTGGTTTATACAGCAACCTGCATTTGTGACATAATGTGATTTATACCTGTGATAAGCCTATGCCTTAACTCACAGAACTGAGAAGAAGGAGCAGCAAATGGAGATGTCTGCCTGCATGATGCTAGTCAATGTAGGTGAAGTCCAGGCAACTTTTATAAATGAAATAAAGTTTGTATGGTCCAGAGCATCCATATGTAAATACCGTGTGTCCTCTGTTTCTTAGGAAGAGTCCAAAATACTGAGTATTACATTGTTGGGAAGCAAATATTGATACCCTAAAGTACAGTTCTTTGATTTAAAAGAAACTGAAAGGCCTTAAAAGAACTTTCTAACCTTCGCATGTTTCTCCCCTCCATACTCAAGTACAGAGAAGGAATCTTTCTGGAATTATCTGACTAAGAAAACTTCTTTCCAAAAGAAATGAAGTTGTCTTAAGATCCTCCCACCTCCACCACCAGGGAGAGAAAAGAGACTGAAAGTTATCACCATACTCAGCCAGACTTTTCATTTATCTTTCTGAGGGCAGTTCTGAGAGACTTTATCTGCATAAGTAAACAACTTTTGTTCATAGTGCAGTTCATTTTCTCACCTTCCCTCAACTTCCTGTAATTTGTCAGTTCCACTGAGGATCATTTACAAGATAATGTCTGCCTCCCAGGTTCATTTATTTTCCCTAAAAATCATTTACTATTCTCCTAAAATTGCCTATAGTCCCTCCTACTTCCTCCTCCCCCATGAAGAAATGAAGAGTGTATTTAAGCCTCAGCTATCTGGCCTTTCTGTGAGGCTCATAGTTTTGGGACTCCTGTGTCCATATGCAGGTAAATAAACTTTTATGTCTCTTTTGTTAATCTGTCTATCATTAGTTCATGTCAGTGGACCTTAGGAGAGAACAAAAGGGGAGATTTCCCTCCACCTCTACAATATCACGTATACTAACTACCTACTAATGATGAGCCCATGGGAGAGTTTCATTTCTCTCATGGATTAACAATGGCATTTACCCAAAGAATAAATTTCACCTTACCACTTTCTGGATCTAGAAAAAATTCATTGTTTCCAGATCCATAGAGTGAGTATCGTATATCTCCATTGGATCCAATATCGGCATCCTTGGCACTGACCTTCAGGATGATTTTATTTGACGGAATGTCTTCGGGAAATAATGCTGTATATGCAACCTGGGCAAAGGTGAAGAAAGGTAACCACATCACTAGTGTTTGTGGGACAACTGCCTTAGCGTTATACATGATTTCTTTAAAAACTCATTTCTATGATTTAGCTTCTGCTTTTTTTTCCTTTACTACAAAATCATATCACAAGACACTAAGAAGCATGGTATATCTGCTGCCCTGCTGCTCCCGTGCCCATTCATTCAACAGATATTTATTGAGTATTTACTATGTGCTGGGTACCACGCTAGGTGCTAAGAATAGTGGTGAAGCAAACAGATAAACATCCTCACCCCTGGAAATTATGACACGCATCACACATTGACCATGGTCCACTTTTCTGTCGAGTCGCAATAAGTCCCAGGAATGGATCAACTCTTTAAAGAGCCACTACCAACACTTGGCTTTAGTATGAGAAAATAAATCCATTTGTACTACCTTTTAAAGCTACAGGACACCAGTACTGTCTCTTGTCCACATGGTAAAGAAAAAAAACAATTATTTAATTTCAGTAAGAAAGAAAATAACCACTAGGACTGGCACCTTGCATTGGTACAATGCTCTGTACAGCAGTGGAATGGCTACGTCATAAGGAGCCTGGGTCAGTACCAACATTGCCACCAACCAGCTCTGTCAACTTATACAAATGAGTAACATATCCTGTAGAGCAGTTCACTTCTCTTTTATGACGAGTGATTTAGACAGAATTAATCATAAGGTCCTTCATGAATTTTTAAAAATTATTTAATTTTAAATCATTGCTTTTTGTGTGTGGAGGAATTGGGTACCTGATCTTGCTACCTATACTCTTTTCATGTTGAGAACATTTCACCCAGACTCCATCTCCTAACCTCTTTTGTCCATTGGAAATAAGAGCAGATGTGTGCCTGGCTTTAAGAAGAAAAGTAGAATGGGTTTTGATTTAATTTTTGAGAAGCAAAGTAAAAAGCAGAGCTGCATCCTCAAATCGCACCTGATCACACACTGGGCTATTGTCGTTCACATCACTGACAGTCACTTCCACCATGGCCTGTGTGACAAAGAGCCCATCAGTGGCAGTGATATTGAGGAAGTAGATGTCTTGTTCTTCTCGGTCTAGCGGTCTCTTCACATAAACCTTCCAATCACTTTGCACCAGACCCAGGGCAAATCTTCCTCGGGGGTTTCCTCCTGCGGTAACAACAAAATAAATAAATAAAAAAAATAAAGAGCTTTTGAAGATGTGCAATAAAGTGCCTTGATCTACTCCTACCCTGAAAGCCCGTGTGAGGTCATTTGGGTGCCCTGCATATTGTATCATTTTTGATACTAAAAATATTGGCGCTCCCTTTGATTCTCATGCAACAAAGCATGATATTTATGTGCTTGGCTTATGTGGAAAGTAAAACAATAACTCTCCAAGAGAACAAAATCTACTTGGAAAAGCTGGAGATGATCTCTTGTTTAGTTCCCCTTAAGGACAATCAAATTCAAACTGCACAATCAGTCGTCTTCTCAGGATGACACAATGATCTCTCCACTTACTCTCAAGAGAGGATGTAATACACTGTAGCTCTTGTTACCAAGACAATTTCATTAGCTGTTGATTATGCAATCAAGGAAAGGCAGTTAGTTCTACTAAGGAATCTTTTAATGAAGGCTTTATCATACAGCTGCGCTCTGCTCTGAAGGACTGGAGTTTGAAGGAGAAAAGTTTACATGATAGAGGAAGGTCCATTTGCATTAAATAGCCCTGGCAAGGGGTCATTTAAGGAGCAGTTCAAAGATATTGACTGCAATTGGATCAAATTTATCAGAGTGAAGCTGGTAAACAGGAAGAAAAGTAAAAGAGATGAAGTGGAACAGCCTTCCATGGTGCCCATGCCCCGACAATGGTGCCAGCAGTGTTACTTTTCCACATCATTAAACTACACTGAGGCAAAAGCAGCTTGGAAAATGAAGTAGGAAGAGGAAGGAAGAAGAAAGCTAAAAGGGAAATCATGTCATTTCAAACACTGACAAAGCCTGGGCAATACCACGAGCAAGAAGTCAGGAGTCAGGATTTATGATCAGCATTTCATTTATTTGGGCATTCAGCACGTACTTATCACCTACTCTGGGCCAGGCACTGCTCTAGGCAGCAGGGATATGGCGGTGGACAGACTAAGAAAGAATCTTGCTCTCCCAGTGGAGCTCACATTCTACATGAGGACTGACAAACAAGCTAAAGAAAGTATGCTGTGCCAGCTGCTGCTTCACTGGAACATCAGAGCCGTCTCATCTACTGCTCATTACTTCTCATGAGTCTTTAAAAAGCAGAGGGCAAGCACTGGAAAGACTGCACTCTCACGGCCTTGGGGAGGGGCAACGACAGGCTAAGTAGAATCAAATTGGCCAGGCAGGGTGGAAAGGGGAGCACTGGCATTCCCTGGGGTAGTGGCTCTCGCCTGGAGACGACAGCACCCTTCCCCTCTGGGATATTTGTCAATGTCTGGAGTCATTTTTGCTCTTCATGTTGGTGGGAGAGTGTGAGACTGGTGGTATATGCTGCTGGCATCTAGCTGGAAGAGGCCAGGAATGCGATCAAACATCCCACAGTGTGCAGGACAGCCCCCCACAGCAAGGCGTTATCCAGCCCCAAGTGTCAGTAGCGGTGTGGCTGAGAAACCCTGTTCTAGGGAGGTTCAGCAGTCTCCCTGGGATATCACTTTCCTCTACTACTGGCCAGGATTCAATTATGCCTTAGTTGAATATTATTCCAGCGCACACAAATTTTACCTCTCTTTTAAATGCTCTCAGTGCAGGCCCACACTGTTCTTTTGTTACATAAAATGATTAATGGTCCTTTGTTAATCTGAGGCAGCACAGCCAAGTTGTGTTACATCAAGAGCAAAAGTTAAATCTAATTAAAATCAGTTGGTGGTTGGCAGTGCTAATAGTAGCAGTCGATTTAAGCTACTCTGTCCTCATTACTCTGGTAAAGTCGATGGGAGGGTCCCTTTACATCATCCATTGAGAACTGAGAGACTATCTATACATAATTAAGGCTGAGTATTTAACAATTCTTCCAATAGAAAAGGATCCTTCAGAATGCCTAAGAAGCTTCTTCTCCTGAAAGTAAATGCAAGTGAATCACAGTGATGCTTCACTCACCTCTTTCTTCCTCACTGCTAGCTTTCATGTTTTAACTGCAGAAATACATTTTAATGACAAAAGACAGAAGGTATCAGAAATTGCATAAAATGTATAAAGTGTCTCAAATGGAAAATGCCACCAAAAAAACAGTGTATTAAGCAATGGAGAAAAATAATGCTGACAAGTGTGGCTATCCCAAGTCCTGACATACTTGTTCTACTGTGGGTCTTATTCTGCAGTGATAAATTAACTTTTCCACTAACATACCTTAGCAGATTCTGAGTCCTAAGGGCATTCTAATTAATTCATTTTTCACTCTAAATAATGTAGTTTTCTAAAGGGAAGCCACCTGACTACAAGTGTTGATGGATTTTTAACAATCTTTTGGCACTTTGTTTAGGTTCTGCCTTTGAACGTAATAACATCAAAATATTAGCTTTAAACCTCCTACATCATTTTTAGGAAGATTGCCCCCATACCACCAAGCCTTGCCTCTTTCCTTTAAGGCCAGTCATCCCCCAGAAAGCTACTCCTGATTAGTGGCAACCCTTCTTCACGTTGACGTAAAATCCTTGACTCCTCAGAGCATCGGTGACATCTTCTGTGCTCTTCTGGTCACCACATTTGTCCATCTTGACTTTCTCCTTGAAGTGCTACTTACTATTTTGGAACTCAGAAAAGAGGTCCAAGGAAATACAGTTGTCAGAAGAAACACTCCTTGATTTGGAATTATAATTTAGCATTTCTTAGCAGATGATCAAGTCATACCCTCTGATTTGTGTATGTGTGTGCATATATGTTTTTATGGGCAGGAAAAACTTGTGCCTGAAGCTTCCTGGGATCAAGCTATTTGGTTTTCTTAGCACTACACAAAGTAGGGAAAAGGAATGTTGTTAAAAACATATCTCTCCATCAAGAAAAATTGCTAGTTTCATTTATTCAACTGAGATATTTGGCTGGATTCTTTTAAAATAATACTACGTGATATAAAAGCTGGGTACCAGTCTGGATAATGGGTTTTCAGTAAACCTATAAACTTCAAACTAAGGCTGAATTAGTACCAGCCAAGTGAAAACCATAGTCTACTCAGAGGTCTTTTACTGAGCCCCAGAGAGACTTTGTTACTCTCAATCACTCATCTCATCTTCCTTCTTCTCTCCTACTCTTTCCCTGTCATCCTCCATCTTTCTTTATAAAGAATGCACATGGTGAACACTGTGGGTGTTAACTTACCTGTAATATGGTAGCTCACTTGGCGATTAATATCAGATGTGTCTCTGTCCCAGGTGCTGAGGACAGCTACCACCTCGCCCGGCGGATCACTCTCCTTCACATTGCCCCGGTACACCTCATGGGCGAAGACCGGTGCGTTGTCATTTATATCTGTCACCCTGACAGAGACTAGGGCCGTGGAAGAAAGAGAGAATGCTTCTCCAAGGTCAGAGGCCACCACAGAGAAGGTGAATGTGGGGTCTGTCTCATGATCCAGATCCTTCAAGGTACTGATCCAGCCAGTGTTGCTGTCAATATTGAATGCTTCCATTATCTTTTCTGGCTGGGAGTCTGAGTGGAGGGAATAAGTGACCTGCCCATTGGCTCCCCAGTCCATATCGATAGCTCGTACCTGTGTGAGTTTGGTGCCAACAGGCATCCCCTCCATTATGATGGTCTCATAGCTTGAGGTTTCAAAGACTGGCTTGTTGTCATTCAAATCCAATACCTTGATATCTACATCCACAGTAAACACAATGTCTACTTTGTCCAGGGGTATAGTGGCTGCTACTTTAAAGTGGAATGCTGGACTGGTTTCATGGTCAAGGCGCTTGTCAAGCTTAATAGTGCCTGTTTCCTGTTCTATGATGAAGACGCCCCCTTTGTTATTTTCTGTCCTTTCACCATTAACTGTGCTGAAACGAACATTCTGACTGGGAAGAATCCTCAGGGTGTCCACCGTGCTCCCAATGGCTGTGTCTTCTGAAATAGTGAAGGAATACTGAGACTGGGTGAATGAAGGCAAGAACGTTTCAGGTGGCAGGACGTGGATGTAGACAGGAATGAGGGAGTGCTTGACAGGAATGCCCCCATCCACTGCTTTGACGAAGAACGATAGCACTGTGTTTTTCAGCTGGTTAAAGTTGCCCTTAGTGACCATCCAGCCATTGTCAGGATCGATTTCCAGGAGGTCAGCCACTGAGACTGAGGCTTCACTATAGAGGGAATAAGTAATCCTTGAATTTGCTCCATCATCAGGATCCATGGCTTGAACCTGCGTGACCAAGTGGCCTCTTCCAACGTCTGCCCTGACGCTGGCTCTGTATTCCACTGTCATGAACTGGGGAGGATTGTCATTTTCATCCACAACAATCACCCTCACAGTGCAGAAAGTTGTTCTCCCTCCACCATCCAGGGCCCTCAGAAAAATACCAATATCTCCTTCCAGGGGGTTTTCCCTGTCTAGCCTTTCTGTGGTAATGACCTGCCCATTGCTGTCTATGAGGAATCGATCCTTGGCAAAGTCATTGATGATGGCATAGCTGATCTTCCCATACGTCCCTGGATCTCCATCTGTGGCTCGAATATGAATTACCTTTGTCCCAGCAGCCGCATTTTCTCTCACCTCAGCTACATATGTGCTTTGTGAAAAGGCAGGACTGTACAGGTTAGCCCCAAGGACCCTGATATGCACCTGTGCGGTGCTGGTGAACAAGCCATCAGAGACAGACACATTGAGACTGTACAGAGGCTCCATCCTCTGCTTCCGGTGGTTGGACAGTGTGATGACTCCACTCTTACTGTCCATCAGAAAGCTGGAGCGGTCATTCCCAGATAAAATACTATACTCCAATCGGTCAAAGTCAGAGCTGTCTGCATCAGAGGCTTGAACACAGGTTACAAAATGGCCCCGGGGGGCTAATTCACTCACATATGACTCATAAATGAGCTGATTAAAAACTGGGGGATTGTCATTTACGTCAGAGATGTGGATATGAACCAGAACCTCACTGCTCAGTGGTGGGTAGCCACTGTCTGTTGATCTGACTTTGAAAGTGCAGTGTTGTACTAACTCATGGTCTAGCATCCTCGCTGTCAGGATTAAGCCACTTGCGCTGTCTATGTGAAAATAATCTGTGCTGTTGTAGGTATCCTGGACAATCTGATAATGTACTATTTTATTGTTTTCTGAGTCTGCATCAGTAGAGACAACTTGCAAAACCGGTGTCCCAATGAGAGACGCTTCTGATAATGTTGTATTATATGTGGGCTGATCGAAAATAGGGGAGTTGTCATTTACATCATTAACTAGCAAGTCAACAGTAACTTCAGCCCTAGCACCAGTAAGGGCATCGCTGGCTCTTATTGTTAGTTTGTAGACAGATGTAATTTCATAATCCAATGGGCTAACAACTTTTAGGACCCCAGTGTCAAAGTCAATGTTAAACTGTTTAAAAGGATCCCCGTCAATGATGATATATATGATGCCTTGGCCTTCTGGACTGGTGGCATTGATGCTTAGAATGGGAGTGTCCATTCTGATGTCTTCGTTGATGGATGCTGTATAAAAGGGCTTATCAAACACAGGCATTGCTTTGTTGACAATAGTGATGGGCAGTTCCATGGATGTAGACAAAGAGGGTTTTCCACCATCCTTGGCTAGGATGGTGACTCCATACTCAATGTTGGACAAGTCAGAGTTAAATGCTTCTTTTAAAATAACATTCCCTGAATTAGGGTTAATTTCAAAGTGGCCATAGTCATCCTGTAGGATATAGGTCACTTCTCCATTTGCACCTTTATCTTTGTCAATGGCCGTCACCTGGTAAATCAGAGTCCCAGGCTCAGCATCCACTTGCACAGCAGCATAGTAAGGGAGGCCCACAAAGACCGGAGAATTGTCATTGATGTCTTCAATGCTAACACTGACCACCACCCTAGCCACACGCAGATGGTCCAGCTCACGGCTGGCTTCCACCACCAGCTCATATAACTCTTGTTCTTCACGGTCAAAGGGGACTCCAGTAGTCTGAATGACCCCTGAGGTAGATTTTATCCTGAACTTATTTCCTGGGTTTAAGATGCTGTATTTTAAGGGCTCATTAAGGCGGTTTCCAACTGCGTTGACAATAGCAACTTTGGTTATGTTAGTATTGTTCTCTGAGATTGAGGTGAAGTAGAAGTTTTGCGTAAAGTGGAGGCCACTATCCATGGCTTCTTTAACCATGATGGTGACCATGGATGTGCTGTAAAACCGCCCATCAGACACTTTAACTATCAGCATGTAGTGGTCTTTGGAGAGGTTGTTGTTTTTTATGGTGAGTACTCCACTATTTGAGTCAATTACAAAATGATCCAGGCTGCCTTCCATTAGGCTATATGTCAGTTCAGGGGGCACCTCAGAGTCAGGATCTGTGGCACTAACTTTCAGAACCTCCACTCCAACATAGGTAGGTAGAAGCAGGACAGTCTCAAACACAGCCTGAGTAAAAACAGGTGGGTTATCGTTCACATCTGTCACCTCAATGTTGACTTCGACAGGGCTCTCTGCAGTAAGTTGAGGGCTGCCACTGTCTCTCACGTGCACATGAAAATGGAAATGGGCGATAGTTTCATGGTCCAGGTTGGCAATTGTTCTGATGGCACCTGTGCTGGAGTCCACTGTGAAGAACTTCTTGGCTGTAGACTCCACAATCTGATACACAAGCAGAGCATTCCGATTACTGTCAGCATCGGTGGCTCGAATCACTAGTGGGCTGTTATCCAAGCTCCTGACAATGCTATTGACTGGGGCTGCCTCACTTAGGCTGCCTGAGTATTGAGAGAAGAGAAACACTGGGGCATTATCATTTTCATCAACAATCTGAATATTGACTGTAGTGTTGGAAGCCATCCCTGCCATGTTAGTGGCCTGAATGATGAGCTGATAAGAGGAAGTGTGCTCATAATCCAGGACCTTCCGTGTGGTGATGACTCCAGAGTATGGATTTATGGTAAAGATCCCATCAGTGTTTCCATCTTTGACTTCATAAATAAGGGTAGATTGACTGATGGCAGAGATTAGAATGACTGATGTTCCAATGTCAACATTTTCATTTACTTCTGCTTGGTAGTCTTTCTGAGTGAACTTGGGGTGAGAATTATCAGATATGGTGACAGAAATGCGCACAATTGCAGTGGCAGACATTGGTGGAGACCCCTGATCTGTGACTTTGACAGACAGGACAAACTGACCCATTGCTGTCATATCTGGTTCTTTGGAAACAGTGATGATGCCCAGGACTGGTTCCATCTTAAATGTGTTACCGGTGTTCCCTAAAATACAGAAATCAGTGGGGAGATGAGTTATCAGTGGATCATCAAAATCTTTCTTGAAGATTAACTCTTCATCTAAAGGTAGCTTATGGTGATGTGGCAAGTAGGAAGCAATTGTTGTACTGAGTATGCATCATTCTGGGAAAAAAAAGAGAGAGAGACTTCTCTCTCAGGGATATTGCAAAGAAACTGAAATAAATTTTCCACTAATAGTGTGAATTTCAGATCAATAGATATTGATCCTGGTTAACAACAATAACACAGCACTGTGTACATTCAGGCTTGGAAATAAGAGCTCTTATAGGAGAAATTTTTCTGCTAAGAATGTGTAGGATGTCCTCATTTCCAGCCTTGTGAGAACAGATGGGGCTGGCAAGTAGCAGTGCCACTGGTAAAAAGTTATCTGTACCTAAGCCACTTCCATGTTCTATGTTCAAAGAATGAGAGTTATTGGAATAGTTTCAGAACAGCATAACATAGTGGGTTGGTTTCAGATTATCCCAAAGGTGAGCTTTGCTATACAGAATTGGTTCTATTTCACCCTATCAAAAATGACTTCATTCAAAGCACTATTTTGGTGAGGGTTTTAGTTCAGGTATGAAGAATTCTTCCCAAGTCACCATTTGCTTTGTGAATTGTGAGGGGTTTTTCTAACTACCTTCTGTTCTTCACTCCTGCCCCACCCCACTCTTCCGGCCCTGAACACATCCATGCACACACGTGGACATAAAAGTAGACATAAAAAACTATACGGCGGTTGTTCCGTCTGCAGCCATTCTAGTCACTAAGCATTTGAGACATTTCTGGTGAAGTAGGAGACTGTTGATATCTGAAAGAGCATTGCAACCAAGAACTTGAGGCATACCCTTTTGAAACTGGCACCTTGATTAAACATAGCTGGCATGGAAAGGGCTGTGGCCGTGACACCGTGGAGGCTTATAGCTTTGCCTTGGAAATGCGCGATGGTTTGAAATCTGGGATTGTTGAGGATGAGAGAAATAGGGAAGGGATAAAGAAGGGGGAGTACAGAATGTGAAGAGTGTAAAAAGGTAGGTGGTGGCACAGAGTCCAACGGCAATGAACAGTATGAAACTGCTTCTGCCATCGGGCTTGCTGACACTGCTCAAAGAACACATGTGCTTCTGTGTCTAGATTTGTTTGAAGCAAAACTTCAAGATCTTGGTTATTTAACTAGGTCTAGATTTTCCTTTCTTTCTTTTTGAGAACTGTAGTATGACAGATTTATTTAAGTGTCAGAATCATTAAATTAGGCATCAGGATTCCTAGGACAGTAGGACGTGTCTATTGAAATATACAGCAAGTACAGCTGTATACATTATAATTCATTCTTATTAAATAAGCTTTTCTATGTTTGAATACAAAAAGGTCATGTTTTGAAATAAAATCTATTATTTATTTATTTTTTTTGAGTTGGAGTCTCACTCGGTCGCCCAGACTGGAGTGCAGTGGCCACTCCCGGCCACTGCAGCCGCGCCTGCTGGGCTCCGGCGATCCTTCCGTCTCAGCCTTCCGAGTAGCCAGAATTACAGGCATGTGCTACCAGGCCCAGCTGATTTTTTGATTTATTGTAGAGATGAGGCTCGCTGCCCAGGCGGGTCTCAAACCCGTGGGCTCAGGCAATCCACTCACCTCAGCCTCCCAAAGGCGCAGGATTGCAGGTTGAGTCACCGAGCCCGGCTTAAAATCTATTATTTTTAAAGACAAAGTATATCTAATAAAGAGCTAAATTTGATTCCATCCCCTAAAATGTAGGCATTGATGTCAGAATGATTATTTTACTCTGCCACCTAAACATGGCTATTTGGTGATAATAGCAAAAAGTTCACTGGTCTTATGAGTAAACTTTCCAATTTTCAATAAATAGCATCATGGAGTGGAGCGTGAGTTGAACAGTTGAGTCACAGATCATCACAAGGAGAACACCATCACAAGGAGAACATTTCACCTCAGTAGTAGTCACTCTCCAGTGGTGGCACCAACACGCAACCCTGACTAGAGCATGCTAACGCAGCCAAGTCTCTCTGTGCTCAGTGATAATGGCGTTCCACTGCAGGGCTGATAGGTAAGTCCTCCCTCACACCAGGCCAGCACATGTCTTCATATCTAGCAAGGTACACTACAGTAGAGGTGAACGGGAGGCAGTTTTTGACCTCAAGGAGAACTTCGTAACCCTGGGGTCCCATGCCGCTGATCTGCTTGTAACACCCTTCGGAATTTGGTGTCCACACACTGGGTTCAAAGCAGGCCCTCTTCACTATACTGACCCGTTTTCATGGAATCCACTTCCTGCTTATTTTCTCCGGATACACTCGAATCCTTGAAAACTGATCTCTGCTTGTTTTCTTGGAATCTAACAGATTCTTCGCAAGAGTCTATGAATGAACTGTTGGACTTACACTTAATTCCATAAGTCATTTACTGAAAATGTGAAAGTTTGCTCATAAGATCAGTGAATTTTTTTGTTGCTGTCATCACAAAATGGCCATGTTTAGGTGGCAAAGTAAGAAATCACTCTGACATCAAAGCCAGCATTGTTCAATATTTGCATTTTGGAAGCTGGAATCAAATTGACCTTTTTATTAGACAAGCAAGTATCTTCTTGAAATAGATTTTATATGAACATGACCTTTTTTTCGTTTAGACATGGAAAGGTTTATTTAATAACTGTGTGGTAAGAGGTATGCACACAGCTGTATTTGTTGTATATTTCAATAGACACATCCTATAACTGCCCTCCGAATCCTGGAGCCTATTTTAATGATTTTGACATTTAAATTTTGTAAACTTTTGGCAACTGGATAAAAACTTTGCTTCTCTTTCTTAATATTCCTTATCTAGTATACAGCATGATGCCAGCCACAGAGAAAGTGCTCAACAATGATCGGTTGGGTGATTGAGAGGAAAGGTAGGACTAAAAATGACTTTTAATTCTTCACTTGGATGCATCTTGGGATCCAATACGTTCCATCCTAACTCAGCTTTTAATCTGCGTCCCTCTTGCACTCACTATCCTGCCTCAGAACCACCATTGTCAACAAACACAAAACTCGGACCAGATATGAGACCTGAAGCTCTGCATTCAAACTCAGCCAAAATAAAAACTTTCCTCAGGTCAAAATAAAAACTTTCAGTCGTTACTTCAGAGGCCAGGCAGGAGACAGGACATGTATAGTCCACCAGTAAACAGAGCAAAATCTTGCTTATCTGAGGTGTGTGAGAAAAGTTAAGTACATCGTAATACTTTACACAACCATTTGCCATTTGCTTCAAAATGCTGAGGCATCTGGATCTATCTCTCTTCTACCCATGGCTTGGAAGCAGCTTGAGTGACCAGGACCAGTCTGGTCCAGGGGTCTATCTCTCTGTCTGTGGAGGGGCTCACCAGCCATGTGGAATTTATTGTGAACATTGCAATCCTCCTTAGTTTCATACACGTGCAATCAAAGGTTGTTTCTTTGAAATATCAATTGTTCCTGTAGCTTTCTGGAAGTCTGAGCTTTCTATATAAAAAATGCTGTAAGAAAATAACTTTTCTCTCTTGTTTTAGTCATCTGTTAAATAAATGACTGAGCACCTTGCTGTATTCTATAGAGGTTAGATGGTAAGTGGGGCAGCCTTTTCAGGTGGATGGTGAGTTAAATCACTACTTAAGAACTTCAACTTGGCTGAAAATGTATCTGGCCATCTAGAAGGAGTATAAGTAATAGGCGTAATGACAAACATAAAAAGCAGGTAGACACATAAACAAATGAAGTATATAAGATCATCTTTCTAAATTGTTACAGTGGCATGAAATGATGCAGGTGCATGAATGAATATGGGAAAAAGAAAAACACAAGATTGGGAAAAACAGGAAGACTAAAAGGATCTGTTGGATTAGGTGACATTTTCTTTTATGTTATTTAAGTATTCATTTTTTGGGGCAAAGTTTCCTTATATTATTTGTGGGACAAAAAACCCAAGAATTACATAATTAAGTAATAAAAATGCCACGTGATGAACAGGAGATACAAAAGTGGTAGTTCTAAGGAAATATTGGTCAGACTTTAGATCAAAAGAAAATTCCATGGAAACCTAGGGAAGAAAAAAGTGAATTTTCTTGGAGCACCTGGCTGTTATGAACCAGTGTTTTTTTCTTTTCTTTTTCATTCTTTCTTTTTTTTAAACAGAGCTTAACACAAACTCATGTAAAATGTGGTCTCCTAATACACAGATTATCATTCAATGCAGGGACTTTTTTCTTTTTTTAGAAGGTTTTTGGCTTTTCTTGTTCTAAAATTTCTAGCCTAAAAATGTCATTGTAGTATTCATATTTTAATTCAACTCCTCACAAAAATGAAGGGAAAAAGCCTTTCAATCCCTGGCATGAAAGAAGATTGCATTTGGCATTACATATGACAGATATAATGTTGCAGAACATTTTGGAAATATGTGGCTTGAATATTCAAAAAAGACAGAATAAGAGAAGAGAAAATACAGCAGATAAAGGATATTTATCATTTTTAGGTTCACAGTACTATCTCTTGTTTAGACATTCATCACTCTGTTATAAATGTTTTCTAGCTATCGATTTTCAAGCCATAGTAAACTGTGATCTTGCCTTAGGGAGGTTAAAATTGATTCTTAAAAATCCAAGATTTAACAAAACAAGAGCCTATATTTAGTTATGTGTCAGGATAAGCAGGCGGTTCAGGTCCTGCATCTACCATCTATTCTGCTACGTAGACTATCTCCAATGAAGGGAATTTGTGCTAAATGTGAGGGCATAGGAATTTCTGAAGCCCACAGCCTACCTATATGGACAAGTAAACCAAAACATGTTAAGATTCAGCAGACCTCAGATGATGGGAGACTTTGGTTATTTTAGTCTAAGGTCATGGCTTATTGGCCCATAGATAAAAGCCACTGAATTTATTTTGCATTTCTTCTCTCTTTATCCAAGAAAAATCTGAAATTGAATACAATGAAGGAAATTCTTTCCTCTCTGTGAATGATGGAAAAACATTACTGAAACCTCAAGAACTTTACCAACTGTCATCACCCAAATAGGGCAGCTGCTTGGCCAAAACAAATCCATGTATAGGTGTCCCACTGGTAGTGATGTGAGTTTAACACAGTGATAAATACTACTGAGGGTCGAATGCCATGCATTACGCTGAATCTGTGCAGTGCAAAAGCTCTCACCTGCTTCTATGGTGTATATGAGCTCTGCATTTTCCCCCTTGTCTTTGTCCAGAGCCGTCACTTGCAGAACAGCTGATCCCAGAGCAGCAGATTCAAACACAGATGCTTCATACAGTGGGTTGGTAAAATATGGACTGTGGTCATTTGCATCCTCCACATTCACAATGACTCGGGCCAGGTTTCTTCGATAAGGAAACTCCTGGTCTCTGACCTTTAGGCAAAATACAAGAAGCAGTAGGACTGAAATCTTAATTGCAGAAAACTCACATGGCTATGTCTGTGATGAAAACAAAGTAAGATAATGCACGCCAAGTGCTTGACTCAGTCCCAGGCACCGAGTAGGTGCTCAATAAATGGAGGCATTAGCTAGTGAGGAGACTGACTGTGAGCAGCTCAAGAACAGGGCCACACCATCCCTACTGCTGCTCAGCCTGATGCCTGTCCTGTGGTCTGTGCTAAGCCTGAGTCCCTGGAACTGATGCTTCCCTCACACAGACGCTTCCCCTTTGGGATCGGTAGACATAGCTACCAATGGAGTGACGGGTGCAGAATCATGCTCAGCCTGAGTCCCTGGAACTGATGCTCCTCTCACCCAGTCACTTCCCCCTCGGGATCTGTGGATACAGTTGCTAATGGAGTGGTGGTAGGTGCAGGCTCTTCTACAGGAGAAACTTAAGAGTGGAATTAATGCAAATAGTGTAGGCATTGCCATTCATCCATTTAACAAACATTTATTGTCATCTATCTGTCAAGTCCCTGGCTTGACTGGTGGTTCAGCAGTGAATTCGATACAGTCCCTGCCCCCAGGAAGCTTAGAGCTGAATGGGGAATACAAATAAGTACACAGACAGGTATAAGGCCCAAGGGTAAGTGCCTGCATGGGACATATTACATGTGTTCTCAGTGTGAGGAGGAAGAAGAATCCATTCCAGCATTTGGCTTCCTGGAGAGGTAAGAAGTAGCAAAGTAGTGGTGGCAGTAGAATGCGATACTGTGAGGCAGCAAGAGCCAGTGTACATAAAGGCCTACAGCTGAGAACTCCGACTACCAGGAAGATGACCAAATCTTAGTTTCTAACATTGAGACCCTCATTGTAATTGCACCAAGGAACTTTGCTTGGCAGTGCTTGATAGCACTTGATTTGCATATGGCAGAAGTTTGCAAACAATTCTTTAACTACAAGGTTTTGCTATAATTTGATGTAGTACTAATCAAATATTTGCTCTTGGCTTATTCAATTTTAGACTCTATAACTGCAGAGAGAGGTGAAGAAATAAGAAAATGTACCAAGAGGAACCAACAAAGAGAAAAGGGTTTCCAGAATTAGTGCCTCTGAGGAATGAGGACAATGGCTAAAATGGCTCAGCCTGGAGAAAGGCAGCCTGAAGGAGTTGCCTTGCTCTATATATTCAATTACATAAATGTCAAATGGTAGAGCGTGACCAAATTGAATTCTGAGTTTATTAAAGAAAGAATGAACAGAAATGACTTGAAGGTCCATGAGAATGTAGTTAGTCGTGAGCACAAGGCTTCTGCCCTTGAAAACACATGCAAAATCAACCCAATGAGTGTGCTGACTTTCCCTGTCTAGACTAGGCTGCCACACCCAAGGACAAGCCTGAACTCTTTATTTGGGATGATTAAACTCTAGGTCAGTTCCAACTGCATGTAAGCTCCCCAGGTGCAGGGACTTATTTGTTTTTTGCATATCCCCGGTGCCTATAAGAGTGGTTGGGGTACAGCAGGTGCTCAAGAAATGTAAGCTGAATGAATGAATGAAGGGTCAGAGGTATGATCAGAAGACCTCTGTGAGTCACCTCTGCTGTTTCTGGGGTCTTAGACAGAAATCATAGTGTAGGTTATGATACTCATGTTTCCTCTTGCCCAGAGATTTCTAGTCTCCTGAGGGAAGAGTAGTGCACAGTGGAAAACCACTTTCGGCTGCATGGGAATCTGTAGCATCTTAGTAGACATTTTGAAGTCAATCTGTGCACAAGATTAAGCCTCTGTCATCCTACCTTGTCTTAAGGACAACAGTGAGGGCTCTGACAGGCAGTACCCATGAGGTTTTTGGAGGCTAAAGGGTCAGCTTTTAGGTTGAAAGTTAATAGAAGGTATTTCTTATTAATCTCTACTTCCCAACTGTGTAAACTAGGCAAACTCCACTTTAAAAGTAAAGCAATTCTCCTACATAATTTGGAGGTCCCATGAACACAAATTCAGGTCAGACATTCTCTGCAGTCTTCCATGTGTTCTGAGACCTCTTCTGTGGGCCAGTGTTTACTACGAGGTCCAACGCCAGTAGAGTGAGTAACAAATGTTCCCTAAACGCTTCCAAGGACTGAGCATTGCATAGGTTGAGCAAATGACTACTTTGTGATTAACATCTTTTCCACAAATCGACACTGAACCTAGTGACATGCCTGTTCCTTCCTCTCAAGTCAGTCTGTCAGCAGCATTTACGGAGCAGCCATCACCTGCAAAAATCATCTAACATTTCAGTTTGGCAAAAATATGGAGTTGCTATCTCATACCAGTACTTCTTCATTGAAATAAAAAGGCAAAGATGAATGCAACCTGTCTGTGAAAATACCAGATTTATTACTCCTTACAAACACAGGGGCCCTGCCTTTTGCAAACTAGGGTGTGTCAGTTGAATGGTCAGTGACATTGCCAGGAGAGCAGATGAGCAGTCTGGTCCTACCATGACATTGAGAATGTGCTTGTCCTGGGCCTCATGGTCCAGTCTTTCAGCTGTGGAGAGCACACCAGTGCTAGGATCAATCCGGAACTTCCTCATGCTGCCAGCGTCGATGCTGCTATGGACCGTGTAGCTCAGCTTGTGCTTCTCGTCTCGATCTGTGGCTTCAATCTGCAGGATCTCGGTGTCAGGAAGCACATCCTCAGAGACTGTCACGTCGTAGCTCGGCTGAGAGAACTCTGGGCCGTTATCATTATTATCCAGCACTTTGATAAATACCTACAGTTAAAAGAAGACAAGAGTGATGACTCACACGAAGTGCTCACTGCGCATAAGAGAAACCCCTCTCTTTTTTCCTCTCCGTGTTGTCCTGGAAGTTTAGCTTCTAGCAGTGATCTCAACGTGTAGGAAGCTCTCTTACAAAAACACACCATAATTAGAGGCCGACAATAAACTCAGCAGTCATATTAGTGGGAACATAAACTATGAGCTGATCAGTGTTCTCACTGTTAATTGAATAGCTGAGATGACCACCTGAAGAAGACAATCCCACAGAATTCCTAGAGGCACAATGTAAATGATCACAAGGTGACCTTGCTGTGTTAAGTTCCTACAACACAGGTTCCTACTTTAAGCTCTTGTCATTGTACTTCTCTTAGTGCCTCTGTGGAGGCAGTGACAGAATGGGAAAAGGAGCAAAGAGGAGGCAAAGGAAAGGACAGAGGTGAAGTCATAGTAGTCCCAACTTTTCAAGGTCAGTGTCCACGCACTCTGGTCATTCTTCAGATGGGCGGTGCCTAGCAAAGTTCATGGCACTAATGATAGCTGATAGCTAAGATATGCTTCCAGATTGTTCTCTTCTTCCCTCCCTTCTTCTCTCCCTCCCGCCTTCCTTCTTTTTCTTCCTCCCTCCCCCGCTCCCTCTTTCTTTCCTTCTTTTTCCTCTTTATAGAAACAAGGTCTCACTCTGTCACCCAGACCAGAACGCAGTGGTACATTTTCTCTTCAGTTCCCGAGTCTGAATTTTGTGCAGTATCTCTATGGTTTTGTTCTGCATGTCCCTCTGCTCCCCATATTTCTTATTAGTTACTGGTTTGATTTAGGAGGCTTGGTAAAGATACAGGTTCAATTTTCTTCTTCTTTTTTTTTTTTTTGACAAAAATCCTTCATGAATCTACTTCCATTTGGAGATATATAACATCTGGTTCTCATTTTAGTTCTGTGATACTAGCAACCATTGGCTATTTTACATATATAACATTAATTCGTTAAAAATTTCAAAATGGTAATAGTCTATGATTTTCTTCTTCATTTTTTAGCAGGAATAGCACTGTAAAAAGAAATTTCTCAACTATTTAGTTATTCTGAAGTATGTTTCTTATTAATCTCTACTTCCCAACTGTGTGAACTAGGCAAACTCTACTTTAAAAGTAAAGCAATGCTCAACTGGAAGCATTGAAGTATACTCTGAAGTATACTTCATATAGAAAGGCAGGATAAATATTTTTATCATTTTGAAAGAATAAGTTGGTGTTTTACTTCCTCCTAAAGTGACCAATGTCGTATTCTTTTTCAAGCATTACGATGAACTCATGAATTTAATCACAACTGATACATTTCTGTCCATAGTAGTCATTATATTTATTGATTTATTGATGCGCAAATAACTTTACATTGACCAGTTTAGCCTCTTCTGGTTGGTTCTTGAGATCTTTTGATACAACCCTAGTCCTCTTTGATAACTCCTTGCTCTCTGACAATTGCTAATAGCAACTTTTCCCAGAGTTGCCTTATACATTTTCTGTCCCAATTTTTAACTACCCATTTCTCCAAAAGGATTTGGTTTCTTTTTAAATTAGAAATGGTATTTGAAGACCATGATCTAGTGCTAGAAATGCTTATTGCTACTGGATTGGCTGCTATATTTTGATTTTATTCATTGGGCAGAGTCAGGAAAGGTTTGTGTTTAATTAAAAAAATCAGTTCACACTGCTACTTCTAACTCAAAATTAGAGTATAAAGGTTTGTACTTAATTTTATTGTTTTACATTTGTATCTCCATTTTCCCGTGCTGAAATGACTTATGCTTAATTACATCATTATAATTATTCATTGCCTTATACATGCACAAAATCCTCAAAATAACAACACCAACATTCTTATTATAATCACATTACAATTATAATAATTCAAAATGAGTTAATACTACTTTGCATTTCTTTTTATTCTTAGAATTTACCTTTCTGGAAATACATAGTTAAATTAGTGTGTTTAAAGTCACTTAGGATAGTTCTTCTCTGTATAGATTTGCCACCAACTGGAAACACATTAAAATCATTTGCTTCCTCTTATGTTAAAATTTTAGACTGCTTTTTAATATTTAATTTAATTTCATATTATATGCAAATGTACCAAAGTCAAATTTACAAAAAAGTTTCAAAGAAGATTCGCTTCTATACCCCTCCCCTTCACTCTGTTCCCGTCTTCTCCTACAGATAATTTTTTTAACATTATGGTCTACCCATCCATTTAAAAAAAAAATAAAGATGTGGGGTACAATTCAGGGTTGGGTACACAAACATTGATTATATAGGTACCCTTGTTAATGAGGTATGCCCCTCCCTCCCCTAGCAGTTTCCCTCAATTGCCAATCCCACCCTCCTCCCCTGACAGTTTCCCACTACTGCCAATCCCTTTCTTATTATTTTGTTAATATAAACATACTGTATGCACTTCCCCCCACCATGCTATTTCACTTAACACTGCAGTTACATTAACATTATAATTACAATTAAGATAACGTTAATATTGGTTCTTAATGGGTAAATTTTTTTCTCCCAGGGAACATCTGGCAGTGTTTGGAGATATTTTTGGTTGACACATGGGGAGGAGGAGTGTTACTGACATCTTGTGGGTAGAGGTCAGGGATGTCTCTAAACATCCTACAAAGCATAAGACAGTCCACACAACAAAGAACTATCTGACCCCAAATGTCAACGGTGTTGCTGCTGAGAAACCTTGTCTTAGATCCTGAAGAGAACACCTCAGCAGTAGAGATACTCTTCCAGTGAGCAGATGCTTGGTAACCAATTCATCTAGTCCTATACTGGTGATCATTTAAGATGTTTCCTTGCCTGAGCCCGCGGGTTCGAGACCCGCCTGGGCAACTTGGCGAGACCTCATCTCTACAATAAACCAAAAATTAGACGGGCGTGGTAGCACATGCCTGTAGTTCCAGCTACTTGGAAGACTGAGGCAGAAGGATCGCCGGAGCCCAGCAGGTCAAGGCTGTGGTGGCCGGGAGCGGCCATTGCACTCCAGTCTGGGTGACAGAGTGAGACTCCAACTCAAAAAAAAAAAAAAAAAAAAAAAAAAAAAGATGTTTCCAATTCCTGCTCTTATGATGTGTGCAAGGAAGAGTCCTGTGCCCATGACTTTCACATTTTTGCTAGCATATATTAGGACCCTAAAATTGAGATTGCTGGATAAAAGGATAGGTGTTTATATAGTTTTGTTAAATGTTCCTATATTTCCCCTACCCAAAGGTTTTCTCATTTTGCATTCCCATAATAGTATATAAGAATGACAGTCTTTCATAGCCTTGCCAACAGAATCTGTGGTCAGACTCCTGGCTTTCTTGCCAATCTGTGTAGTTTCAGTTTGCCTTTCTCTTATTTTGAGTGAGATTGAGCATCTTTTCATAAGTTGAGTCATTTGTCTTCCTTTTTCTGTCAAACTATTTATATATCAGCTCATTCTTCTAGGAGTTAGATGGCCTCTTTCCTCTGTATTTTTGGAAGTTTGGTGATATAAATTGCAAATGTTTTCAATTTTTTCATTTATTTTATTTTGCTCATGGTCATGTGTTTTATCTTACCATGAAAGTTGAATCCATCAGTCTTTTTCCTTATTACTTCTGGATAAGACATACTTTAGAATATTTTCTGCGCTTCCAGGTTATAAATGAACGCATCCACTTTTAAAAAGATAAGTATTTGTATGTTTCCTTTTCTTTCATTTACATCTCTAATCCATTTGGAATTGTTCCTGGTTTGTTATGTGATGATTTTTCCTATGACTTTTTATCTCTTTCAATACAGTTTTCGAAGACCATCACTTTCCACTGGTTTGAGAAGCCACCTTCATTATATACTATATCTACATAAGCAGTTCATTTATTTCTGAATTCTCTATTCTGCCCCATTGGTTCATTTGCCTTTTCGTGCACCAGTACCTAAATGCTTTAATTATAGAGGTTTTGCAGTATATTTTAATATTTGGAAAAGCCAGGGCCTCTTTGTGTTATTTTTCAGGGTTTTCCTGACCATTCTTGCTTGTTGTTCTTCCTAATGAACTTGTAGTACCTGAAACTTGGTAGGGTTTTTAACTGGAAGTGTGATAAAAGCACAGATTAACTAAAGGAGAATTGACTACTTTTTAATGTAATCTTCCCATTCAAGACTATGGTTTGTCTTTTTTCATTTGTTCAATCTACTGTTTTGTTTTTCAGGGAAGTTTTAGTTTTCCTTAAACAGGGTTTGAACACTTCTTAAAGTGCTACCCTAAATGGCATCTCCTTTTCCAGTATATCTTTTCACTTTTTTGGTCATATATATACATGTAGGTTATTGATTTTTATATGTTAAATTTATAATCTGTTATTTTACCACATTTTCCTATCATTTATAGTAGTTTTTCCACTTGCTCACCTGAGTTTTTCAGATATATAGTTTTATTACATGCAAAGATAGTTTTACCTTTTTCTTTACAACACAGATTGCTTTATCGTGTCTAATTGCATTGGCTAATACAGTATGATATTAAGTAGCAGTGAACACAGTGATGCTCTTGTCTTATTTCTGACTAATAGAAAATCCTCTAATGATCCTCCATTAAATAATATGCTAGTGTTTGGCTGCATACCAGAAAATTGTTTACTTTAAAAAATAAAAGCAACCACAAGGTTATCTATGTAAATGTTGCACTATCACTCACTTTGGTATAGATATACCTTTCTTCAGTGCAAGATAAGGGGTGGTGCTACCATCTTTGTGTCAGGATGACTTACTCTGGGTGGAAGCCTGACATGGGACAAACTTTGCTCCATAGTTTGTGATAGAAAAGGATTGAGAAGTGTGTTGATAGAGTTTTGGGTATTGTTTTTATCTCCACTGTATTTGCAGAACCTACACGATTCTTTGAATGTCAATTCTTTTCTTTAAAAAGTTCAAGTTAACTTCATCAAGATGCTAAAATATTTGTGTTCAGTTATATTAACA